GCAAGTCTCTTGATCTTCAAGCCCCTTTCCAAGATTTTCTCCTCCAAGGCTCTATTCTCTCTATTAATGGAGACTCACTCGAATCTAGCGTTTTCTGGAACTCTCTGGGGGGATAGGAGGCTGGGAGAAGGACATAAAGTCCTTTAAATAGGGTGCAACCCTCGGGATTAGGGTTTTCTCATTCCAGCACCAACTCGTCGAGTACGTCTTCCGACTCGGCGAGTTGGCCACTTAACCCGCGATCAATCCCGCTCCGACTCGACGAGTAGCATACCTATTCGTCGAGTAGCTTCCTTAATTTACACTTTGCACCCTCCAACTTCTTGCTTCCGAACTTGGGATGTTACAATATTTGATTTACATTATCTTTTTTTCTTGCAGGAGAATAAAGAATATGCCGAATTTAGGAAGACGGATTTGAGCATATTTGATGAGAAATATGCTCTTTTGTTTCGGGATTCCGTTGCTATTGGAGATCAGACTATGACTCCGTTACAATTTTAAAACAATAGCAATCCAAACGAAGAAAATATCGAGGGAAAAGGAGATAGTGATGAAATCAATTTAGATGATGATGAGCCTCTTTTTCCTAGTTTCCATGAAAGTAGTTCAAGTAAAATGAAGAGGTCTAAGTTTGTTTCCAACAACCGTTCAAACAAGAGTAAAAGTTCAATTTATGAGGAAAAAGTAGATGTTTTATTGGGTGTCATATCAAGAAAAAACACATAAACTTATCCACAAAATAATCATTCCCCAAGAATAGCAGATTGCATGGCCATTGTCATCAAGTTTCCTGATTTTCGTGAAGGGTCCAAAGAATTTTCACAAGCACTGCTTGTCTTCAACAGAAAGAAAAATCATGAAGCTTTTATGTTTCCAACGATTGATGAAGCCAAGATAGAGTTCCTTAATTTACTTATGAAATAATGATTTGGCATTTGACATCATGTCTTATAGTTTTGTGTGTTATGCTTTGACATTATGTGTTATGCTTTGACAATATGTGTTATGCTTTGACATTGTGTGTTGTCCTTTGACATTATGTATTCGACATTTTATATTATGTGTTATTGCTTGTCGTTATGTAATCACCATTTTATATTATGTGTTTATTTCTTGACATCTTTTTATTTGTATTATGTAGGATGGATAGTGATGACTCTAATTCATCTAATGATAATGAAGAATGTTGGGAGGAAAAGGATAGAGAATTTGTTGAGGAGTCTGTAGGAATATTCTTGATGACTTTGGCTCATGGGTGTAGCAATAGATTTGTACAAGAATTTTTTAATCATTCGGGGGAAACGATTCATAGGCATTTCCACACAGTTTTGGAAGTCGTGCTAAAGCTGAGTGCCGACATCATCAAGCCAGATCCAAACTATAATGATGATGTTCCCGAATATATATTAAATAACCCTCGGTATCATCCAATGTTCAATGTATTATCCAATGTTCAGCTACTTGGTAATCAAACTTTAACAAATGATCTATTTATGATATATTTTTTGTATTTGAAGGATTACATTGGTGCTATAGATGTGACACACGTTAGGGCATCAGTTCCACAAAAAGGAAGCGAAGTGCATTGGTCGAAAGGGATATGCAACACAATATATAATGGTTGTTTGTGATTTTAACATGTGTTTTACATTTGTATGGGCCGGTTGAGAGGGGACTGCACATGACACAAAAATTTTCAATGAAAACCTTACAGAGACCAGATCTTAATTTTCCATATCCAATGGGTGGTTAGTATAACCTTTTTTTTTGAAACACAAGTTTTATGTTTTTACTACTTGTTTGAAACAAATAACAAATGTTTGTTTTATTTACAGATAAATATTACGTTGTTGATGTCGGATATCCAAATACCATAGGGTATCTTGCTACATACAAATGCGTAAATATTCATTATCATTTACCGGATTTTCGACATGGACACACAGCTGCTATTCGTGAACCTCATGGACCGAAAGAGAAATTTAACTATCTCCACTCATCATTGCGAAATATCATTGAACGAACTTTTGGAGTGTGGAAAGCTAGGTTGACGTTATTAAGAGATATGCATGTTAACTACAAGTACAAGAATCAAGTAAGAATTGTGATAGCATCGATGGTGATCCATAACTATATTAGAAAGGTTGGTAGGTTTGATGAAACGTTTAATAGGGCACAACAAGAATCCTACAATCACATACGAGGTGGTACTAGTAGTGAAGTTTACGAAGAATGTCCAAGTACACGTCGCATGAGTGATGATGATTCGTATATGGCAGCGATACGAGATATTATTGCACAAGATATAATCACATTGTTGGGATGAATGTAATATGGCGTTATCAATAATATTTTTTATGATTTATTTACAATTTGTATGAACGTAATTTTAATATTATCATGGTCTAATCAAAAAAATAAAAAAGATTTTAAAAGAAATTTATATTTTATATTTTCTAATAAAATATTTACAAAATTATAATGTATATGTAAAAAATTTCAAGTATAAAATAATATATGTAAAATAGTAAATCCTTGTAAATATGTAAGCATGTCTTTTTTTAGTCATTTTACATTTAAAAGTTAAGCCTAATACTTTTTAAAAACAACTTTTAACTTTTTCCCTCAAAACTAATTCAAACACAATTTAAAAAAGACAAAATTGCAAAATTGATCCCTGTGGTATGCATTTTTTTGAGATTTTAATCCAAACCTCGACTTTTTTGGATCGGTGGTCCTTATGAGTTGGTTTGCTTGTAGTTTTGGTCCCTCAAAAAACTAAAAAGACTAAAATACCCTTGAGGTGTTTCTTTTTCATTTTTTTATCTATTTTTATAATTAAAAAAAATAAGAAAACACCCATCTCTCTCTCAAACAATGTTTGACTGAAAAAGTCAAAATGTTTCTCCTCCCTTCAATCTCCTTCAACATTCGAATCCTAATAAAAACCAAATAATTGCTCAATTGTGCCATCGTCACCACCACCTACGATCAAATATCACTGTCTATGGTCCACCTTTGCAAAAGCCCTCTTCAACCGCCATTCTGGGTCTAATGGGTACAAAATGGTTGTAGGGGGGGAAAAGAGGCTCAGGTCGTTACCAAATGGAGAAGGAGAAAAGAGGGATTGGACTCTTCGCCGGAGGTCCAATGGCGGCGGCGGTTTCTAGCGAGAGGCAAGATGAAGAAGAGGGTGAGGGAGAAATTAAGGCGAATCAAGGAGTTGGGTTAGATTTTGTATTTAGATCGAACAATCGACATCAAAAGACTTCAGATCCTCCGCAGCGGCTTCCCAATTGATGTTTGATGGAACTCATCGCCAGTATACCAAGCTTCATCGATGGTGAACACACACACACACCACCTGTTCGACCAAATGCCTCATTGACTCTTCTTCACTTTCATTTTGACTGGCTATGGATGTAAGCTTGTCGAGGTAGCTATTGTGTTGAGCCTTTCAACTCAACAAGTGACATGCGATGTAGGTGGGGGTGGAATTGGTGTAGTCTTCGCTTTAAAGAGACCCAGTGATAGTATCCAGCCGCCGACTCTGGTGCATCTCGATTCCGGTAACAACGAGATGAAAGGAAATAAATTCATGGGAAAGAAATTTATATGTACAGGTAAAAGAAAACAGATCTAAATTTTTGTTTTTTGTTATGAAGTTTTGAAAATTTAAACAAACTCTTTTCTTCTTCCTTAATTTGTTAGATTGTAATTGGTAACCATCGGAAAGCTCTCAATTTGAGCAGTTTCATTTGCAAACAGGAGGAGGTGTGGGTGTGGTTTGAGTTTTTGATTTACAGTACTGCTCCAATAGAGTTTCAATGTTTTCTGAATTTGATTTGTGTTTCCTGTTTTTCTCATTTGTTTGCGATAAGAAACTTGAATAGGAGCGACTTTTTCTTTGTGCATCCCCAACAACAATAAGAAAGTTGAACCCATATGTGTTTCTTGATTTGAAATTAGTTAATTTTATTTTGAGGGTGAGTGCTTTTAGTAATCATGTGGATGATGTGTGTGTGGTTTTACTGTGTATTTAGGGAGAGAGAGAGAGAGAGAGAGAGAGAGAGAGAGAGAGAGAGAGAGAGAGAGAGAGAGAGATCTTAATTTTTTAATTATAAAAATAGATAAAAAATGAAAGAAAAATGAAAAAGAAATACCTCAAGGGTATTTTAGTCTTTTCAGTTTTCCGAGGGACCAAAAATACAAGCAAACCAGCTCATAAAGACCACCGATCCAAAAAATTTCAGGTTTGGACTAAAACCCCAAAAAAATGTATACCACATAGATCAATTTTAATATTTTGTCTTTAGAAAACTTCCTTTTACCAAAGGGATAATGACTTGATAGGGTAAGTTACCTTTTGAAATGTACACATTTAGTTCTTATTTTTTTTTTTGTAAATTAAACCCTTATACTTTATTAATATGTACACATTAGGTCCTTTTGACCGGATTCTATAGGTTTTGCTGATGTGGAAGCACATGTGGCACTAAAAGCAACTGCATAACAATTAATTAGCTTAGTCACTCATTATAAACGAATGTTAACATCCAAAATCAGGAGGAATCACGGTTTTGTCGTACAAGAAGAAAGAAGATGTCGACTGGCTCAAGAATCTCCACAGGTTCAAGCAATCACAGAGTAGATAAGGAAGTCCTCTGTGATTGTAAACTCCCTACAAGAATTCGTACCTCCAAGACCAAAGATAACCCTGGAAAGAAATTCCGAGTGTGCCCTAACTCATTGGTAAATACCTAAATTGATTTTATTTGTCAAATCGCATCAATTTTCTTCTTCTTACCTTCTATGTTGTTGATTTTATTACTACAGAAACCAGGGAAAAAGTGTAAAGTTTGGGAATGGATTGATGAAGAACCTGAGAATATGAAGCCCATTGCAGAAGATACTCTTTCAGATGTTGCAGATTATCTTATACAAGTTTTAGAGGATGTGGCATCTATTAGAGAAGAAGTGAAACAGTTGAAGGTTATGGTTTGTGTACTGATTCTGCTGGTCATTGTTAAGGTTGTGTTTTGGGGTTGAAGATATGCTTCTGGAGGTTTTAGGGGATGTTGATGTAATAGAAAACTAGTATGGGTAATATAGTAATTAAGTTCAAAAGATTACCCAACACTACATCAAAATATATATATATCACATGCATTACCCCACTACACCAAAACCTAATTACTCTAAGGTCACAGGTTTGTCTTGGCTGCATCTAGTTCCATCCTTGACTTTAACATTTTTCTGAAGACCAATTTCTATGATTCTTTCTAAAAACTTTCTCACCCTACCAGCATCATTCAAAGAAACCTTCTTCATAGGACTTCTCTTCACAGGAGCTTTCTTCACAGGAGTTCTCTTGACAGGAGCTTTCTTTAGAGGAACTTCATTTACAATAGGAGTAGGAGTGCTTGGAGCTGGAGTTGATTGACTTGGACCTGCTGTGCTTGGAGCTGGAGTTAATTGACTTGGACCTGCTGTGCTTGGAGCTGGAGTTGGCTTACTTGGGCACGTGGATTTGTTGTGGCCAGTTTGGTGGCAAATGGTACATCTTAGAGGAATGCATACCCTTAACACAGTATGCCTTGTGTGCCCACTTAGCTCTCTTTCTTCCTGATCTCTTTTCCTTTTGACACATGGCCTGCCAGGTAACCTCCTCCTTAATGGAGGCAAAATAGTATGAAGTCCTTCAACATGTGGGCACTTAGAACTGTCATTGAGTGGGTGGATGTTATACTCATAGCTACTAAGGAAATAGGCTTTAGTATAGGAGTTTGATACAAAAGCCTCCACATCTAGGTTCAATGATGAAATTGCTGATATGGCATGTACACATGGAATGCCTGTGATTTGCCAGCTTCTGCATCCACATGACCTCTGATTCAGATCAACAGCATACCTCTCATTTCCTGAGAACACTTCAAATTCTTTGTAGCCACTCACATAAGGTACCCAAAATCTGTCAATATAGAAGAAGATAGTCAGTTACCATTATAAACCAATGTATAACTAATGAAAGTGTTACTAACCTTTGCAATTCTCTCAAATCCTCTATCTCCCTTCTGATACTTGGGCATATGTCCAAATCCCAACTCAAACCATTTTGCTTCTGCATCCATAACCTCTGCATTGCCCAACATCTTATGCCCTCCAACATTGTTATCACTGGTTTCCTTCTAGCATCAAGTACAACAGAATTGAAACTTTTAGAAACTTCATTCTCTACTGCATCACAGTCCATACCATCTCTAAAAAAAGCCTTTGACCAACACCTTGGATCCCTGTCTATGAGATAGTCATAAGCCCTGCTTTCCAAGGACTTAATCTCATTCATTGCTGCTTCAAACTTTGGTACAGTTGTTGCATTCACAACCCTCCAAAATGGTTTAAAGTATTGTTCTCTTTTAAATTTTTTGTGGAAATTAGCTAGAATGTGTCTCGTACATAATCTATGCTCCACATCAGGAAGTCTTTCCTTCACAACTTCAACTAATCCCTGATTCAAACAATTAAATGATTAGTTAATTAAATGATCAAAACAATTAAAGTTAATTCAAAAAAATAAAATGATTACCTTGTGGCCATCTGAGAGGATTGTAATGTCATGACCATTCCCCCCTCCAATGTCTTCCATTAGGTTGTTCAAAAACCATTTCCATGTCCTTTTGTTCTCAACATTGACTACTGCCCAAGCTAAGGGATAGATGTTATTATTAGCATCTCTACCCACTGCTGATAGGAGCTCCCCTCTACATACACCCTTAAGAAAGCAACCATCATCCCCAATTACCTTTCTGCATCCATCTAACCACCCATCCACAACACCTTTAAAGCTAATATAAAACCTATCAAACACCACAATATTATCAGGTTGTGGCTCCAAGAACACATCAACATGTGAAGCTGGATTAGCCCTTCTGATTTCAGCTGCATAATACCACAATTTGGCATAATGTTCTTTCAAACTTCCCTCAACTTCATACAATGCTAACTTTTTTGCATTCCTACACTGCCCAACACTCACATTAATGTTGTATCTCTTAGATACTAGGGCTTTCATTTTCCTCAAACTCAGTTTAGGACTCTCCAAAACATCATTCACAAATTGTTTCCCTATCCACTTATATGTTACAATTGACCCAAGTTTGAATGTCCTAGAGCACTTGTGCTATGTTATAAGAGACTTAATCTGAAAAGTGTGTTCCTCTTTCATCCAGGAAGCATACAATCTAAAAGGGCATGTTGGATTCTTTCCTTTACAACACCTAACTAGCAACCTACTCTTGTCATTCTTTTCATACCACAGATCATAACCATTTGCTACAGCATAGCAACTAAGAGAGTATTTAAGTTCAGCAGTAGTAGAGTATTTCATACCTAATCGAGGCTTCATCTCATTCCATTTCTGAGTATGATCATGTCTTGGGTAGATATGTCGTATTGCATTATAATCTTCTTCAACCAAGTCATCATTCTGTATTGGACAAAGTTTGTTGAGGAATTGATCATTGAAGTTTCTTTTGAGAGATATAACTTCATCGTCCTCTACATGTTCAGCTTTCAGACCATCTTCTAAAATGGAGTCAACATCATCAATAGAAACCAAATCATCATCTTCAAGGTCTGATTCTTCCTCCTGAATCCAATCAAACAAAGGTTCATGATGATCATCCACATACACATCCAATCTCTTCTTTTCATTGATATCTTCAAGAAACTCGTTAAAATCGCAGTAATTCTGAATAGCATGTAATCTCTCAGACAACCTCACTTCATGTGGACAGTAATACACATCTCTGCATCTTTCGTTAGTAAGCTTTTCAAGAAAGGGGATGAAATCAGGGAAGTTCATCTTGTTCACAACCGTGTATGGTACAGAGGCTTTTACTCCATCAAAATACATCAATGGGGTAGGTGTGAACACCCCATTATAGTGTACATCAACGATTGTATCTGCATCTTCTGCCATTGTTGATGGTGATTTTGAGTCAAGAAGTTTGATGGATTATCGGCCGAGTGAATGGAGGAATAGCTGATTAAATGAGCCCTAATTGTCAAAATGTGGTGTAATTTAACAATATTCATGTAAGGTGACATGTGGATGCCACCTGGTTATTTCATTTCAAGAAAATAAAAGAAAATTCGTATATGACCGGTACACCGGGTATAGCCGGTCAAAAGGATTGCATAATTACAAAAAACTGGTATAAGGGTTTAATTTACAAAAAAAATAAATAATAAATAAGGACTAAATATGTACATTTCAAAAAGTATCTTACCCTATAAGTCAAGTCATTTTCCCTTTACCAAAAAGAACTTTTGAGGCTGAAAATTAATCGCAAAGGCCCTCGAACTTTATAGGAAAAAAAACGGGATATTCAAAAGGCGAAAAAATCCTTACTTTTCAAAGGGTTAATGACCTAAAAAGGTAACGAACTTTTGTCTTTGTCCACATTTAGGTAACCATGTTTTTTTCGTTCACATTTGACCATTAAACTTGTTTGACCTGTTCAAAATAAGGTAATATGACCGGTAATTAGCGGTAACATTACCCTATTATGAACAGGTCAAACAAGTTTATTGGGCAAATGTGTACGGAAAAAACATGGTTACCTAAATTTGGACAAAAACCAAAGTTCCTTACCTATTTTGGTAATATTGGGTTCTTTATGTTAAGTGCAAGTAATCATAAGATCCATTGATGTGAAATGAAATTGGGTTGTCCGGTCTTGTGTATGAGGAGATGGTTAAGTCTTGGGACAACCCAGTTTAGGCCCAACTAGTTAGGGGCTATGTTGTATACGCTTAAGGGGTTAGGTTGTATGTGTTTTAAAGACCGAGCAACCCAGCTTAGCCTATGACTAGTCGGGACTAAACTGGGTTAGACCAAGTCTAACGTAATTGTTCATTGATTGTCGGAGCCTGATCCCAGGGCACACAGTCCCTAAGACGGTTATTGTCCAGTATAACCAAAACGGGTAAGAAACTTTGGTTTTTATCCGTATTTAGGTAACCATTTTTTTTCGTACACATTAGACCAATAAACTTCATTGACATGTTCATAATAGGGTAATATTACCGTAATTACCGGTCATATTACCTTATTTTGAACAGGTCAAACAAGTTTAATGGTCAAATGTGAACGAAAAAAACGTGTTTACTAAACGTGGACAAATACAAAAGTTCTTACTTAGGTCATTAACCCTTTTCAAACAACCACTTTGAAAAGCAATCCAAACACGCCCTTATTACAAAGTTTTTGAGCTTCTGCCTCGTTACAAAGTTTGCAACTCGTAAAAGATTTCTTTTTCGTGTTCACCGTCTCATTGGAGTAGGGATCATCTTTCGCTTCTCCGTCACCGGCGACCATCACACGGTAACCTTATACGAGTTGACTCTTCCTAGCACCCGATTTCACTCAAATTGGTTCAATCACTTCTTTATACTCGATCGTTTGCTTTTGAATTGTTGGATTTATTATTTTCAGATATAGAGGAAGAAAGAACGACTACGTCTAATCGCTTCGTGTGCGCTGAGTATCAAAACCCCAACTCAAGAATTAGGCATATATCTGGTATGTACACTATACAAATGCTCACCCCCTTTTCACACAATCATACAACAACTTTAACTTACTACCTGTAGATTGCTAAATCTGAAACATCTGCGTATTCTTTTACTTCATTCAACGTTCGATTATTATATGCCCACCTGTCAAGATCACTTTATTGCTCCCCTTGAATACTCTTATGTAAATTAATTTGTCATGAAGAGTGATTGTTGAATTTGATAATCAGTTCGTATCATGCCTATAGCTTCCAATGTTTATATGAAGGAACTATTTTTTTATATAAACTTTCTCGTTATCCTTGAATCATTTCTGACTATTAACAAATATAATTCTGCTTTAGGAGTGGAAATCGATCATAAAATAGATGTACACAAGTAACTGGAGGCATACACAAGGTGGATGTGGTGGCGTTGTTAGCGACACCTCTATGGAATCTGGTGATTGGAGGTCTCAGCTGCCAGCAGACTCACGACAAAGGATCTTGAATAGGATGTGTGTATTTATACTCTTAAATTTCTCAAGTTAATGTGCTTTAAAAGTATTTTAACTATTCTAACCTGATTAGAATCATAACTTAACTATGATGATGTTATCTGTTGAGGTTTGTTGTTAATAGTGAGTGTAGGTTATGTACATTGTACCCTTCTTTGATTTGTAAAGTCATGGAAATATCTTGTAAATACTTTCATCTTTTGATTGACACATGTTGCTTTTACACAGTATGGATGCCTTGAAGAGTCATATTCGAGTCTATGGAGATGAGGGGCTAATGAAAATAGCTGTCAACTTTGAAGAGACAGTGTATATAGCTGCAACAAGTCAGGTTTGTTCTGTTTTTATCTGCTAATGTTGTTAGTGGTATAAAGATTTTGAAGGAGTCTTTATGTAAAAATGGAACTAGTTTGCTATTTAAATCTTGTAATTCATTTTGTTTGCAGTCTGATTATATGCGGAAGATATGCTTCAAGATACTGACTATTGAAACCAGATCACAAAATCTTATGCTAGACACTAATAGTGTAAACCCCTTTGATCCAGGTATTTTTTTTTTCAAAAAATATTTTTACAAAATATTAATGAAACTTATTATTAACTTATAACTCTTTTGTAGCATCGTTAGATTCCACAAATTGTGAAGAGTGGCAAGAGGAACTGTATGAAAAGGTGTTGTATATGAAATTACACAAGCTTTATGTTCCTTTTTCCAACCCTATTGATATTATGAGTCATAATAAGAAACAACTAACACTCTTTTGGAATCTAAAATTGTTTTTATTTTTATTACAGATAAAAGCTATGAAGGATCTGTATCTACAAGATTTGAATGAGTTGAACCTGAAAATTCTTCGCAGATTGCAGCATGTGAGTTCCATATCCCCCTTAATTTTATGGAAAACAGATGTGAAAAAGAAATGTAATTTTAAAAAAAAATTATTTCCTAATTTAACGAAAGAGTTTGTTGTCCAGAATGATTTTCATCCTCATCAACTGAACAACGAGCAACTTGAGAAGCTAAAAGTGTTCAAAAACATGTTGGAACGTTTCATGGCATTCTTACAAATCCAAAAGCACAACATTTTAGTTAGCTACAAAGACAAACTGACTACTTATGAGAAGCAAATTGTCCATCTCATCACCTCAACTCGAAGGAAACCTGTGCACAATTGACATTTGACACAAGTCAAAGTCAAACCACACGAAAGTACACTGTTGGTATAGTCTTAAATGTATATTTTCATTGTTTGTTACCTTGAGAACATCTTGATTCTTCAATATTTGAGTAAATTACATGATTCGTCCCTGGTGTAAGTGCTAAATTACATGTTTAGTCCCTATTTTCAAAAATTAACTCGGATCTTCCCTTATTTCGTTAAAAGTTGCACGTTTTGTCCCTAACCGACATGAAATGACTGTAATGCCCTTTTTAATTTCTTTTTCATTTATTTTTTTAGATTTCTAATTATTAAAAAAATGTTTTAAATAAACTTGTGGGTCCCACCCACCCCCTTTGTACCATTTCCATATTCTCTGTCTAAACCCTAAACACCACCCCGTCGATGTTAACCTGCATATACATCATAAACAATGTCCAGTTCAACTGGAAATCGCCTGTCTCTCGTTACCAATAAGAACCGACCTGGACAGCCACATCATCAAACGTCCCTCATCTAACCCTTACCCTCACCAATCACTCATCCTCCCTCTTCATAGCCAACTATCCGAGTAAATCACTCAAAATTTGAAGCTTAAAATCAAAATTCAAATCATTCATAACCGGTTCAGATTCAAGTAAATCATTATCGTTCAAGAACCTAAAACTCAAAATGATCTTACTCACTCCTAAAACTGAAAGCAAACATGAAGCACAAAATCAACACTGAAATTAAACCTAAAAACAGCAATCAAACTTGATACTCAATAAAAAAACATGAATTCTAACCTGGAACTCAAAATGTAATTTGAAATCAAACTGAAAATCGAACTCGAAATCAAACCCAAAATCGAACTTGGAAATCGAGACAGGGAGAATGGGATGGGAAGGAGATAAGTAGAGAAAGAGGATGGGCAGTAGTTCTGGCGGAGCTACCTCTCTCGAAGGTGATGGTGATCAAAGATGATGGTGGTGGTGGATTTATTCACCTGATACAACCCAAACATCTCCAATTTCTTCAAAGGGAGATAAATTTTCTGGCAGAAAGACGAGGTTTTAGAGGCTGGACGTTTCTGAAAATGGATGTTTGCTAGAAATCTGTAAGATTTTACTACTTAGACATTTCCGGTGACGACAAAGGGTTGCCGGAGGTTGCTGTGAGAACTGAGAAGAAAGGAAATGGGAGGAGAAGCGATGTTCGTTTGATAGGGAAGGCGGTTGAAGAGGTAAGGTATAAAAGGGTGTGGGCCCATTTTTATTTCTTTTTCAATAAAAAAAATCAAAAGTAGAAAACAGTTGAAAATAAATGAAAAAGAAATTAAAAAGGGCATTACAGTTATTTTTGTCTGTTGGGGACGAAACGTGCAATTTTTAACGATACGAGGGACGGTCCGAGTTAATTTTTAAAAATGGAGACTAAACATGCAATTTGACACTTGCACCAGGGACGAATCGTGTAATTTACTCTCAATATTTTTTCTTATCTACATTATAGTGATTATCACTTCATTTTTAGTGAATAGTGATTATCATTTCATTTTTTTTTTGAACGATAGATCACCCTAAGATTGAAGTATGTAAGATTTGAATCTGGATCAACTAAATTTTTGAGTGCTTATAACAAAGTATTTATTTCCTAAATGTCATCTATCTACTATGAAAACATTTCTAATTACCATTTAACTTGGAGTTGGGAATACCATTTGGTTGTCATCTCATTTCCAAATCATTACCAAATTATATGTTGTAACTTCCATCTTCTCTTATTCACAATGGGAGGATATATGATTTATGTTGCCTCAAAGTGCCTATATGTTATAATCTGTCCATTGCAGCATGCAAACAGAAGGATGATTTCTTGGCGACGAAACATCAAAACATAAAAATAAATTCCATAAGGATAATAAGAAACCCACACAAGGCTAAACGATTAATAGATGACTTCAAATAAATATTTTGGCATCAATTTCATAATTAATAGACAATAGACACGACTTTAAAAATCAAATTAACATGTTGCTCACAAATTCCGCCTAATGATAATCCTAATTAGAAGTACAATGGTTTTGGGTTTTCACATAAATTTTTTTTTTTTTAAAAAAAAAAAAGGAAAAATCGAATGGTCATTTTAGAAAGTCATCAAACCTTTTGTAAAACAGTGCATAAAAGTGGTCAAAGCTTTAAAATTAAGCCATCAAAGTTTTTAAAATTAATATCTTTTCATTGCAATTATAAACTTGGGATATTTCACAAATATGACCTATAGAAGATACATGGAAATAACCTAATTTTTAGGTATTTTCATAGTTAACCATTATTTTGAAATGATCATTTTGGATTTCATAGAATATACAATTGTGTATTTTTATTCTCATTTGCACAAAGCAGTATTCAAAACCTATATCTATTAATTTTGAAAATGTTTAATATCACTGATTATTCAATAAAATGTCACATTTTATGCTTTTCTATCATAATTATTCACATTTGCTATTTTTTTTTAACTTTTTGTTAGATTATAGTAAAAAAAACCCAAACATTTTATGGGATTTTTGGATTTGTTAATCGGATTTCGGACTTGTTAATGACTTTCTGGATTAATTTTTTTGTCCTAAATACATAATTTAAAATGTGAGTCTGAAATCTGAAAAATTACTTTCCAATATGACATAAAGTTACTCTAAAATAGTCAAAAATGCCTCCATTTCGAAAATAATGGTTATTTTGATCAAAATCCAAAGACTAAACTGCACAAATGGTCCTTGTGGTTAGCTGAAAATTGACACTTTGGTCCAAAAAAGTTTGGACTAGCATCAGAGGTCCAAACTTTTCATTTTGTTGCGAGTTTGATCCGATTTTGTTTGAACTTTTTTATAAAGACGATTTTGCCCCTGATTATTTAATATTTTAATTTTCTTTTATTACAACAATTAAAAAGAATTTAAAATAAAAGAAAAAAGAAAATACTCTCTCTCTCTCTCTCTCATAAACCAATACAATCAACACATATCCTTGTTCTTCCCTTCTGCATTCGTTCCCAGCCAAGAACACAAGAGCATTCTTGTTCTTTTCATGTATACCTGCAAATGAGAAATACAACCACTCCTTGTTATTGGTTCATATTCTTTCCATGGCAATTTCAAGAAACCAAAACACAAACCTAACCCTAGTGATTTACACCCCATCGATTATGTCAAGCAAAACAAGCATACACCCATCGATTTCCTGTAAAAGATTAACCTCACTCATCCATTCCATTTATCCATTTCTGTCAAGAATCAATCAACAAACACTCATCTTAACCTAAATCTATTGACTAAACCCCATGGATTTACATTCAAAGTAAAAAAGAAGAGAGATGAAAGGACACCTGTGATTGTCGAGCAAACAACAACGCCGAACACCCCCCATCGCACTTGGCCTTCTTCCCGTCGAGCTCCACTGCCAAACACACCACATGCGCCGATGTTGCTGCTCTCCTAGCTCAACCGGTTCTCCCTTCCGCATCGCACCTTGTTATCAGAACAGGAAGAGAGAAGCTGCACTGCCTTCCCTTTCCTTCTCTTTGGCCCCATCGATCTCTGGAAACAAAGCTTTCGCAGGAAATCGACCCTCACTACTGCCCTACCCATCCCGTTCCCTCACGTGTTCCATGGTCGACGACCACGTTATACGAGCGTTTTTCATGAATCGATTTCATGTGAGAATTGATTGGTTCCTGAAAATCGATTGGTTTGAATATAGGAGGGAAATGCTTACGATTCATTACCGATTTTGAGGTTTAGAAGGTTGTAGAGAGAGGCGATTTGAGAATCGAGATCGTCGGGATTGCTTCGAGCAATGATGAAGTCGTTTTGGCATCAGAATCTTCCTTCGCTAACCTTCTGTCACCCCTAATAAAAAAACCCTAGACACACACAGGTAGAGTGCCAATCTCTACAAATTTGGTCTCTGATTTGGCCCTCTCATCCCCGATTTCGTTCAAGGTACCTCTAATTTGGTCAACTGGATTCAAGTGGTGGAGGTTGTTAAAGACTTAAGAGTCGACACAAATGAAGCAGATGGCGACTGCTGCGATTTATTGGTGGTTTGGGTGAGGGTTGGCATCGTAGCAGGTGGCGGTGGGAACAGGTGGAGTGGCGGTGCGATTTACCTGAAGAACCTTCTTCATCTTACCTGCAATTCATCATTCTTCATCTTGCCAACAGGATGGTGGCTTCAGATCGGATAGGGTGGGTGTTTGAGACGGTAAAGGAGGGCGAAAAAAATATTGAAGATTTTGAAGGACGAGAGAGAGAGAGAGAGAGAGAGAGAGAGAGAGAGAGAGTATTTTCTTTTTTTTTATTTTTAATTCTTTTTAATTGTTGTAATAAAAGAAAATTAAAATATTAAATAATCAGGGGGGAAAATCGTCTTTATAAAAAAGTTCAAACAAAATCAGACCAAACTCACAACAAAATGAAAAGTTTGGACATCTGGTGCTAGTCCAAACTTTTTTGGACCAAAGTGACAATTTTCAGCTAACCACAGGGACCATTCGTGCAGTTTTGTCAAATCCAAATATACTTTATTTTCACACATTTTATAATTTTGTACGATTGTTTTGTGAATATCGTTACGAGCATGAGAAAAAAGCAAAACTCAAACACCATACCAAACAAAATGATGTTCATAAAAGTAATTTGGTTTGGTTAACCGAGATTAATGTTTTTTAGTTAGAGTGAATGAGCTTTAGATATGTATTTTTATATTTTATTTTATTTTTAATTAGAAATTAATAATTATAATTAATTTATATTTGTGTTGTATATATTATTACATATTACAAAAAATTAAATAAAAATAGTAATATGGTAAAAATAATATGATGTTTTTAAATTTTATTTGGTTTAATCCGACCTAACCCAAAACGTATTATAAGATGTTATAAAATCCAATCCAATCCAATTAAAACGAAACCCAATTAAACGGACGGACTCACACGTCTAATATCCTTTTTAAATGACTAAATGACAAAACTGCAAAAATGGTCCCTGTAGTATGCATTTTTTCTGGGTTTTGGTCCAAACCTCGACTTTTTTTTGATTGACGGTTCTTTTGAGCTACGTTGTTTGTGGTTTTGGTCCCTCATAAAGTTAAAAAGACAAAAATACCCTTCTAATATATTTTCTATGTTTATTTCTATTTAATATAAAGTTTTATTAATAAAAATTATGGAACCCACCTCTCTCTCTCGTTGTCTTCTCCATACATCCCAAATCAACACAAGAAAATCGATTTCTCCATTAATTCAACGATGAGAGATCTGCGTTTGTTTCCGTTCTCGTCCTAAATCACCACAAGAAAACCTATTACAGAAGCGATTTGCTGCAAAGGTTCTGTTCTCGGATCTTAATTCCTAAAAGAATAACATGTTGGTTCTTTTCCCTCGATGACTGATGCCTGAGAACGAGAGACATTTTTTGGCTAATGGAAGTTGAGATTATTGTGGAAACGATACCTTTGTAAAAAGTCGATTTGAAAATTGAATTCAGTCAAATTGAACAAAGCATTACAGAGAAGAAGAGAGGTTACGATTGTTAGTGTCAATCGATCGTGGGGTGAACAAAAACAGTAAAGGGAAAGAAATAAACTCAATCGCTCCCATCACCTTCTTTTCTATTTCAATCTTGCATAATCCCGGAATCAATCAAACGAACCAGTGGAGCACATAAAATCTTTAACAACCGATTAATTTTGATGAATGTGCAGATTTTGCTCTTTCTTTGATTACGACCGAATAAGCTTCGAAAAGGCAAGTAAAAAGGAGAATTGGATGCTTGCAATTGATGACAGATGAAAGCCATACTGAAACCTGTGTGATAAAACCCAATTCTAGGAAACACAACCTATTTGTTTCACTTTTGATTTGGGAATAACATACAGAGATCCAACTTCTTTGTACATACTTTATACAGGGAATCGACCTTCTTTATGGAGCTGAGGGATGATTCAGGAATGCAGGCTTCCCCTTCCTTCTCGTCGTGAACCACAGGACGCCAAAAGAACCGGGCAGCAGAGCTACCACCCACCGGTGGCAAAACCCACTTCACCACTCACTATCGCTGTGATTGTTAGAACGCCCCTACTCTGACCATCTACCACCTTACACCGACCGTCGTTCTTCCCTGTCGTCATCCCCGCCGAGCAGAAGCAAGAACGAAGCAACGGATGCTACTGGAGCAACCTCCGACCACTACTACAGCCACCATCTGTTGCTGCCACCGTGATTCCAGCTACCACCGCCTTCTACTACTGCAGTAAGTCTTTCGCCACCATTACCTTTCGTTCCACATACTTTCTTTTCTATTTGAAAAGCTTATCAAGAGGATTGCAGATTTTTTTTCCTTTCATTCGTTACCTGCGTGAACCTGATGATGAAGAAGATGGACTGTGACTCGGGGGAGGGTAGGGTACCGATTACATGACGTGGAGAGAGAGAGAGAGAGAGAGAGAGAGAGAGAGAGAGAGAGAGGCCCGATTTTATATTTAATAAAAATAATAATTTTAAAAAGTGAAAGAAAAATGAAAATTAAATTCATTAAGGGTATAATAGTCTTTTTAATTTGGACAGGGACCAAAACTGCATGTAAACTAGCTCAAAAGGACGATGAATCCAAAAAAGTCGAGGTTTGGACTAAAACCCTAAAAAAATACAAACCATAGGGAACATTTTTGCAATTTTGTCTTTTTAAATTAGCAAATTTCATATTTTTTTAGTGAATTTTATTCGAAATAAATATAAAAACAAAATAATTTTTTTATAGAAATAATCATAGTCCTAAAGCTTATTAACATTTTACCTAACCGTCATCTTCTTCGACTTCACCGCCCAAACAAAAACCATCCATCATCACACTCATAAACCTTCAAACTAAATTAATAGTTAAAATAGGGATCATCTTTCACGTCTCCGTCACCGGCGACCATCTAACGGTAACCTTATGCAAATTCACTCTTCCTATTACCCGATTACACGCATATTAATTCTATCTCTCGTTAGTTATTTCACCAATCAAATTGAATGTCTAGTATGCTATAAACCCTACTTATATAAATGATTTTGTCATGAAGTGTGATTCTTCAATTTCACAATCGTTAGTATCATGTTGCGTGTATCGTAGTTGAATCATTTCTGACAAAATCGTAGTTCCAATAGGAAAAAACAGTTTTTCCTGTATAAAAGCTCTTTGTATAATTAAATCATTTCTTACTATTCTGTTTTAGGAGTGTAATCAATCATCAAATAGAAGATGGATATGAGTAATTTGAGGCGTACACATGGTGGAAGTGGCGATGTTGGCGACTCCTCTCTGCAATCTGGTGATTGGAGGACTCAATTGCGAGCAGCTGCAAGGGAAAGGATGGTGAACAGGATGTGTGTATTTACCATTTACATCCTTCTCTTAAATCTCTTAATTTTATGTGCTATAGGAATTCGATCATGCTAACCTTCTTAGAATTGTTAACTGTTGGGATTTTGTTGATAATATGTGGAAATATAGTTTCATTTTACTTTTAGAAGTGATGATTGCTAAACTACTAAGGTGCTAATTGCCCAAAAAGGTTAATTAGTACGTTTTGGTGATATGGTGTCCTATGTGGAAATATAATTTCATATTACTTGGGTCATAACTGTAATTTCACTTAAAAACTGTTTAATGTAGCTGGTTGTCTACACTTTTTTTATCTGTAAAATTAAGTTTTCTACCAGAAATATTTTCTAAATACCACATGTTTTGATTGTGACACATGTTGATATTACATAGAATGGTTAAAGTGAAGAGGTATCATCCATACTCTGGACATGAGGAGCTACAAGAACTTAGAAAAACATGTGCGAGGTTTGAAGAGCAGATTTATAATGCTGCAACAAGCCTGGTTTGTTTTTTTTTTTTTCAGGGTCTCTTTAGTTTGCTTATCACTTCAATAACATAATGTTAGAGATATTAAGATTTTGAATCATTCGAAGTCTGTTTCTTTTTTACTTAAGCTGGACATAATAATTTGTCATATGTGATAAGGTAGTTTGGGACCTAAATATTTTTAATAATTTGGTTTTTAGTTTGATTATATGCGGAAGATATCCTTTAAGATGCTGACAATTGACACTAGACCACGAAGACCCATGCCATTGGCATATGCTATGTAGTCAAACTCTGGTGCTATTAATGGAAACCCCTCAAATCCAGGTATTTTCTAATACACTGTCAGTCTGTCATATTAGGCTCTTTTTTTGGTTACATATACAATTATACATTAATGATGTTTAAGAAATATTTGAAAAAATTAAGGAAATGAAGAAATGAGGACAGAGTTGTAAATGTTTGGACTTTGGAATTTGACTTTGTTTATTCAGTAAAAGAAAATATCTTGCTACTTATGATAACCTCAAAACATCATTACATAAAATCAACCAAATCACACGCACAAGTTTCATATATCAATTAGTTTGTGAAGGTAGAAAAGTATATTAAATATTTAAGAATTTTATTTACATTATTTTTTGGATGTTTTTGTATAAACTTATAGATCATATTGTTTGGATGCATGTACCACAGTACCAATGGCAGAAGACCACGATAATGAATAAACCAATGGTGGGAAACCACATGATGTATAATGATGTATATACAAGTATTTGTTGTGTTTTGTTTAATGATGCAAATCGATATGCATATCATGTGTGCACTATGCATTGTAATAGTTTGTTTATATTGTCAATATGTTTTGATCCATAAGGATTTATTGATGAGATTCATAATATATAGAACTCAATAACTAAATTGTGTGAAGCTAAAAAGTGATTATGCGGTTTTTTATTTAATTTATTGTCATAAACACAAAAACTACACCTAACTAAGAGGTTGGGTTTTGTGGGATAGTTACCGAACAAGAAAAAGAGAAAAGTGGGTGACGTGTCCAGTCCAATAATTGTTACATTTTTATTTTTAACGATTAGTGGAAGGAGTCACTGGGCCTTTTTGTTTACTTTCATTAGTCAATTTTGTCCGCGTTGGGGCGCAGTAATCTATTGGAGAATTAGTAGAAAGTAAGTTGCTACACCGAAGATTTAAATTGACAAACGACAAAAATTATTGCCCAAAGTCATGTCAAGCAAAAATAATAACAATTGTATTATATGTGATATGTACGTATAAGCAAGTAAGATTTTTTTAATTTAACGAACGAAAGTTTAAATAAGTAAAAACATATTATATGTGACCCGACTCATATGTAGGAAGCGTATATAAAAATAAATACGAAAACATAAAAAAGAAAATTACGTCGAAACATCGACGAACTCGAATTTATACCGACACGTATATAAAAAAGCAAGTAAATTTTTTAAAATCAACGAACGAAAGTTCTAAATTTAGGCCGAAACGTTGACCACCTCTAATTTATACCGACACATACGAAAGTTTAAAAAGTCGGAGGGGTGGTAATTATAGGAAATCAAATTGTATATATTACGGGAGATAAAACAAAAGTTTGGAAAATTAAAGGGGTGAAATTGATATTTTTCAAAGTTAAAACACGGGGTGAAAATGACATTTTAAAAACTAGAGGGTTGAAAATGGCATTTTACAAAGTATAAACATAGACGAACTCGAATTTATACCGATACATACATAAAAAAGGAAGTAATTTTTTTAAATCAACGAACAAAAGCTATAAATTTATGTCGAAACATTGACCATCTCTAATTTATACTGATGCATACGAATGTTTAGAAAGTCAGAGGGATGGTAGCTGTAGGAAAATCAGATTGTATATATTACGAGGCATAAAACAAAAAATTAGAAAATAAAAAGGTGAAATTGATATTTTTCAAAGTTCAAAGACATGATGAAAATGATATTTTAGAATGTAGAGGTTGAAATATGTCATTTTACAAAGTATAAGAATGATAGTAATAGAAAATTAGCAGAGGGACTTAAATTGCCAAAAGCTATAAATTTATTTATCATAAATTCGACTAATATAGTTCAATACATATCGATGGAAGGCAAACGAGCAACAAACTGCGCCGCTAGCCCTTTCTGGATGGCAAAACTAATTCTTCTGAAAACATCTGTGGATCTAGGAGATATGACATTAGAATGCATGATCCGTTGGACTCTGTTGAGGAGCTCCACCGCCTCTTGTGCGAGAAAACCAAATGTATCAAATGCAAAAGGTACAAACACATGTTGATTTTTTATACATGCATTCTCGTGATTTGCCACTTTGCACGCATCGGCTTTCTAAGCAACATGCACTGCTGTGAAACCCCCGCTCCTCAAACCGACGAGAGGAGAGACCCCAGTAAGATCCACACACGCATGCTTCCCTCCTACCCATCCAAGGACCAAAATGTCAGTCGGTCTAAGTGTGGATCTTCCATCCTGCGGGTCCGTTAAAAAGTTCATTGGCGCTTCTTTCTTCGCAGAAATACCAGCACGCCAACAAGCATCAAAGAGAACATCCCTAACCACATCATGTCTGTACTTGAAACCAGGGAGCTCTCGACAATGAACCACATGTTCCCCAAAGGTATCCAAACATGCCTTGCGGCAAACTGGGCATATCTCGTCAATTGGGAATAGAGGAATCATGAGGCGGTAACGAAGGATAGTTCGGTACTCCACATGAGACATATGATGGCCAAGGCCATCAATAGGGATAGTTAGCAGAAAATCCTGAGCATGAGGTGCCCGAAGACACTCAAAGACTGCTTTCTATCTAACAGTTATGTCGAAGCCGACTTCCATATCTTTGACGATTTTGCTAAAAAGGGCACACGCCAATGCTTTTTGAGATTTAGGGGGGTTGGTGTCCTTATTAGTGAAACCGTTACAGTTGAATCCTGGAATCGTCTCGCAAAGACGAGTCATAACACATAGGTAATCAGAGTCCATACCACATATGCCACTGTCTCGTAAGATGTGGTCTGGTAATGCCTAAGATTGGGCCCTCGAGGCTACAAATGCGTAGGAGGAAACCTCATATGCCGAGTACAAACCCAAACCACCAAAACGAATAGGTAAGGAAGCCAGACGCCACTGAATGTCTCCAAAGAAGGAGCCTCCACATACCACCATATCCTCGACAGACCTGTGCAATCCTTTGTCAAAGAACAAAGTTGCATATTCTATGTGCACCGGCTGGCATGTCCTTAAACTAAATAAAAGTTTTGCAATGTCCATACATGATCGAAGCAAAAGGAGCTCACTTTGCGAGTCACATAGTTGTGGAAGAAGACCCATCAAATCAACAACATTGACTGCTCTCTTCATGGCCGGCCCACTAATAAACCCTGCGTCTCTGCTAACAGCCCCCCCCCCCCCAAGGAGCTTCACCCTCAAAGAAGGTCTCCCTATATTTGTTGGGAATAAATCAGCACGAAGCTTCCTACCATCACAGGAGGGCCAAAAAATCTCCGTTTTCTTGATGTTCAACTCAAGACCCAAGCCCGGACCATTCAACCGAATAATGTTCAACACTCTGGCCACCTCCTCTGAATCCCCAATGACAGTCCCATCATCTAGATACCAATCATGGAGAAGGAGCTTACAATTGTCTCTAATCTTGTGCACAAGCGGGTGCAAAACGAGGGCAAAAAGAAGAGGGCCCAAGGGGTCGCCTTGCTGCACCCCAGTGGTAGACCATATATGTTAGTCTCCGATATAAAGTCTCATTGCTTACCCGTACAAGAAATTCATCCACAAAGAAATAGAAGGTCACATCCTCTTAACCTGGTGGAGCAATGTTGATCTATCCACCAAGTTAAAGGCATTCAAGAAATCCACTGCTAGCATTACAAGAGACCCATCAGCATGGTGTTCACTCGACACCCTATTGGCACTATGTAACACAGCCTCAGCACCCCCAGACACACCAACCCTGAACTGAAAATCATTAAGGTACTTGGCCATTTCTTTACATACGCCTTTCATGGCAACCTTGGAAACCAGACGTCTCCATATAGTGCCTACTGTAATTGGACGGATCCCGTTGTCAGGTTTAAGTAGAGGCGTGAGAGGAGCGGATGCAACAAACTCTGCCAAAATGGTCGGACATCTTCCCGCTAACCATAAATTAACCACTGAAGTGATAGCACGTATGAGATCTGTGGCAATAGTAAACCCTTCTCCACAAAGGGCATCCAGTAAGTGTTGAGCCCTCAAGCCATCTCTCCCGCAAGAAGTTCCTTTAGGGAAAGATTTGATGTAACCAAATACATAGTCAAAGTCTGCTACAAGGGGAGGTTCAGAAATTATGGGGCTCGGCATGGATGGGGGTGGCCTGAAAGGGTGTTCGTCCTCCAAAGCTTTAATAGTATCACCATTATATGGCGCAACACCCGATGAGCATAACACTTTCACTGCTGCGGTAAAATGCCCATTTGTAACCTTACGGAGACACTGCATGATGTTGGTGTTACTTGATGTAGACTCCTTCTGAAGGATGCCTCCACCATGTCTCATGGCCCCAACCTCGGGATTGTCTAACATATTTTGAACTAACTTCTTGATACCATCATCTTTCCCCCATGTATCCAAGGACTTCAGGATGGAGCTTTGCTGTAAGGATTTTCTATTCCCAGACCTACATTCTTGTCTATTTTTGGGCCTAAACACCTGCAGTGCGCAGCGAGGAAGAAGTAACAAACAAATTCGTGCATCAAGTGAGCCAGGTTGGGCAATCACCTTGTAAAGAGCAATTTTCAAAGCCTGAGAGAAAGCAATGCGGCAACTATGGGGGATACTCTTGACAGTAGTGATAGGCTCTTTAAAAACACGATTAAGGATTCCAACATCAAAAACCAAACCTCCAAGAGCATTTGTCACCGACTCTTTAGTAGACGACTTTAGAATACCGACAATGTAACTACTCGAGCCGTCAGCCCCTGTAACAAACCTCGCACGACCATCCGGGTGATGACAATAACGGCTAAGAGCATGCAAAGCCATACACTTCCCACACATCCATTGACCAAAGGCCTTCAAAGTTTTTTCCGCTACAAATGTAAAATAAAAAAAGCGGAAGAAGCGAAAAAGTAAGGGGGGGGGGGACTTTACTATTTAGAAAAGATATAACGTTAAAATAAAAAAATTAGGAAAATAATAAAAAGACAAAAATATGAGTAAGTTAGTGCTTTTACAAATAATTAATACTTTTAATGGAGTTATCACCGTTTTTACAATAAAAAATAATAAAGACCACTGATTTAATGGAAAAGGAACTTGGACCAAAATTATATTACCTCCGTCCCAAATTAATTGTCCACATTCGACTTTTGAAATCTTTATTCTTCAACTTTGAGCTTAAATATTTTTGTTTTTAATAGATAATACTTGATACAAAATTTATGAATGGATTGTATTTTAAATGTCTTTTCATTGTTATAAGTTTTATCAAGTAATATATAACACAAATAAAAATATTTAAGGTCAAAATTGAAGAAAAAAGACTTCAAAAGTCAAAAGTGGACAACTAATTTGGGACGAAGGAAGTAATTCTTTTTATAACACATGAACCATTTATAAAGATTTTTGTATAGTTAGACACTTATATTTTCTTGCTCACAATTTAGCATTTCTAAGTTTAATACTTATTATATGTTATATAGTAAAAAAAAAAACTTGGACTAAAATTGTAATTCTTTTTATAATTACATAGCTATATTTGAAATATAATACTTATCTATCTATCTTACCTAATAAATAAAAATAATTTGTGTTATATGTCATTTTCTAAAGTATTAATTCAAAAATTTATCTTTTATTCTCAGGTTGACACGTGACAGTCTCATATATTTTTCTTTATTAATTCAGTTTT